TGGCATCTCTAGTTTAAAAGGCCAGGCAGGAGGTGATGGGAAAGACCTCCCCCTCAGACCCTGGAGAGCCACGAAGTGGGGCTGTAGTTCAGTGGCAGAGCATCTGCTTGGCATGCAGAAGGTCCCAGGTTCAATCCCTGGCATCTCCATTTAAAAGGGATCAGGCAGGAGGTGATGGGAAAGACCTGAGACCTGGAGAGCCATGAAGTGGGGCTGTAGCTCAGTGGCAGAGCCTCTGCTTGGTATGCAGATGGTCCCAGGTTCAATCCCTGGCATCTCCTGTTAAAAGGGACCAGGCAGGAGGGGATGGGAAAGACCTCTGGTGGGGCTGTAGCTCAGTGGCAGAGCATCTGCTCGGCATGCAGAAGGCCCCAGGTTCAATCCCCAGCGTCTCCAGTGAAAAGGACCAGGCAGGAGCGGATGAGAAAAGACCTCTGCCTGAGACCCTGGAGAGCCATGAAGTGGGGCTGTAGCTCAGTGGCAAAGCCTCTGCTTGGTATGCCGATGGTCCCAGGTTCAATCCCCGGCATCTCCTGTTAAAAGGGACCAGGCAGGAGGGGATGGGAAAGACTTCAGCCCTGAGACCCTGGAGAGCTCTGTGTCCAAAACCCAGGTGCCATCAGGAGGTCCACTAGTGGGGCCAGAACGCCAGAAGCCCTCCCACTGTGGCCCCCCAAGTGCCAAGAATACAGAGCATCACTTGCCCCAGACAGAGGCAATAGCCCCTGGTGGACTTCTGCTCTGTGTAAGAACATGAGAAAGCCAATGTTGGATCAGGCCAGTGGGATGGGAAAGACTTCAGCCCTGAGACCCTGGAGAGCTCTGTGTCCAAAACCCAGGTGCCATCAGGAGGTCCACTAGTGGGGCCAGAACGCCAGAAGCCCTCCCACTGTGGCCCCCCAAGTGCCAAGAATACAGAGCATCCCTTGCCCCAGACAGAGTGTTCCATCTAGCCCCTGGTGGACTTCTGCTCTGTGTAAGAACATGAGAAAGCCAATGTTGGATCAGGCCAGTGGCTCATCCAGTCCGGCAATCTGTGTCACACAGTGCCCCAAACCCAGCCATGGCTCTCCCCTCCACCTTTGAATCCTCCCTGCAACCCTGTAAATTAGATAAGGCAGCGTAGACGGTCCAGGGTCAGCCACTGGGCTCGATTGAGGGCTGGGGGATCGAACCCTAGTGAGTCGTCGCAGTGGTGACCACTCTGCCAAAGTTTCTAGAAGTTTTTTTTTCCTCCAATCCTTGCATAGCTGTTGCGACAGTCAATCTCTCAGTCTTTAAGGCATCACAGGAAAGGAGCACAGATCTCGGAAGCTAGGCAGGGGTCGGCTGTCCACTGTCAGAATTCCAAAGGGGCCTTTGGGCACAAAAGTTGGGGACTCCCTTTTTTAGTGTAGTGGTTGAGTGCGCGGACTCTAATCTGGGAGAACCGGGTTTGATTCCCCACTCCTCCACTTGCACCTGGCTGGATGACCTTGGGCAAGCCATAGTTCTGATAAGAGCTGTCCTTGAAAAAGAGCCATTTCTGTCAAGAGT